CTGAGGGTTGCGATCCGTTGCCGGACACGGAAAAAGACAAAAAGGAAAAAAAAAAAAATATTCATTCAGACAGGGAGGAATAAGTCAAGAGATCTATTGTAAAACATAGTGACTACAGTTAAGAACCATGCATTGTACTCTTGAAAATCACTGAGAGTAGATTTTATGTGGTTTCACCACAAAAAATAACTATGTGAGGTAATGCACATGTTAACTAGCTTATTTAGCCATCCCACAATGTGCACATATTTCAAAACATTACGTTGTATATGATAAATACATACAACTTTAATCTGTCAATTAAAAATAAAAGTTTTAAAAAATAAATGCAAGAAAAATACAATTAAAAAAAGACATCGGCCAGCCCAAAGTTCTCCCTGTGTTAAAACTTGCTGGTTTAAATACGACTGTTTAAGATTTTTTAAAGCAAATTAACTTATAGACAGACAGTTGGTAACCAATCGTCCAGGTGGTAGGTGGAATGTCAGAAATCAGGACAGAGACACAAAATGATTGAATTCAACCCTGCATTTATCCTTTCAACTGCCATTTTGGGCCCTGCTGTCTTAATACCTCCTTTGAACACTTCACCTCTGATGTCTACCTGGGTTGCCCCAATTTGTCTGCCCCAACCACACCCTTTCATCTTTAGGTCAAAGACTCTTCTGTAGTGTCTTCTTCCTTTTCAACATGGCCCTCGATGCCATTTTGTCCTGGGTGATCCCCTCTTTTCCCCGGAGCCCAATTATAACCCCCTCGGGGAGTCAAAGAGCAACTGGAGGGGGAAGTGACTGCTGTTCCTGGGGCACAGCAAACAGGACACGGAGCTCCAGGCGCTGATTTGCAAGCTGCCTGACACTTTAGCGTCCCACCCAGGCTGCCTGTGTCCATTGTACAGCAGGAAAGGCAGCTCTGACAAGGTGGCCGGACGCCCCTGGCCATCTGTGTCTCTGTGTCAAGAGTAAATGAAGAGGGAAACTAGCAGAGCAGCCCTGAAAGAGTTAAAGTTCAGTGCCCCATTCCAGAGCCAGGTGGGGAGGCTGCCTCCAAGGAACTGGGTGACAAGGGCTTAGTTATAGGCCCCAAGCACCATAAAACTCCAACCTCCCTTTAATTATGAGAGGGGACTCCTGGCTCGTCAGGATACCGGTTGCCTAATATTCCAAGAACAAAAAGCTGATTCCTTGTGAAGACTCCTGACTTAAGGGGTTCACCAAGTCCCTTCTAGAGATGCCCCAGCCCCTGGCCTTGCTGCCTAATATCACCCCCCGCCCTCGCGTCATTTCCCAAGGTTCAGAAACCACATGGGGAAACCACAGATAAAAGAGCCCTCATTGCAAACAGCGCAATCTATGATGTGCTGGCTCAGGAGCATCAAAAGTGCACATCTCAGCAACATCATATTGCTAGCCTGAAATCAGCCACTGTTGTAGCATTTACACCACAGCAAATGACCAATCTACAAATCAAGACTCATGTTTTTCTGGAGAGCTGGTTGCTAAACATTTACCGGCACACCCCTGACCAGAAGAACAGCCCAGAGACAAGCAGGCCCCTCCGGCTTGCCCTTAGAAATCTGGGAGTCCCAGAACAAACCCCAAGGAGAGAGAAGAGAAAGAAGCCCTTACCGCATCTGAATATCAATTCTTTGAGCTAATTTTCTCATCCGTTCTTGGCAACATTTTAGCAAATCTACTTCCTGAAATGAAAAATGTCAGAAAAAGGGATGCTCCTTAGAAACTCATAATGCTTTCTTCACCTTGCCTCTCTCTCCCTACCCTCAACCCCGCAAGTGAAATGTCAGGGTGGGGTTCCTGCCTCAATCCCATGATCCCAGGGCCAGACGGCTGAGGTTAAGTGTGGAAGCTGCATGTTTTCTTGCTCTACTTTCTTTCCTTTTTATATGCTTCCAGCTTAAAAAAAATTAGCACCTACTATGTGCCAAGTGCTCACCTACAGATTATTTTTATCATTTAATTAAATAATGTATATGAAGTGGTATGGTGAATATATTAGGTGCTCAATAAACACTAGCTTTTATGATTGTTATTGGTGGTATTATTATTATGCCCACTTTGAAGATGAAAAGACTGAGGACCAAATGACTCCATTTCTCCCCATTCCTAAACTGCAACCTAGGCCCCCACCCATGTTGTCTGAGCCCTAATTTTCCCCTGGGGGTGACATGTATGGCTTCTGCTCCCGATTGGCAGCTTAGAAACCTCTCTGACCAGCTGGCCCTCCCTTCCTCCTTCAGGAGCTGGGCAGACCTGGGAGACACCTTACCTGAATAAGATTTTTCTCCACATTGTCATGCACCAAATCAATCCCGATCCTCTTCTCGCGATGGTATAGACACTCCAGGGCCACCTGTAGGGAGCAGCGGGAAAGAGTGTATTCTCCCTGCAGCTGTATGTAGATCCTGAGCAGAGGTGACTTGCATCTAGCTTTGCCACTATCTGGTCTTTTTTCCGGGCCTGGGTGCTTCCTGTGTGTTTAGTGGGCTTCTGCCTCCCTTCTCCCTTGATGGGGGCTGTGAGATCCCTTGGCTAATGCATTTGGAGATGCAGGGCCCATGTAGAGAAAGGAGGATAAGGTAGGGTCCTGGGAACAAACTGTGATTGGAAGTGGGAGTTAACACCCCTTCCCATAATCTCCATAAACTGCCCAAGCCTTCCCAAATTACAATAAGAAACAGTAAAACTCCACTGTCATTTCAGATACGATGTATCAACTGCTGTAGATGTAGCTTCTGTCCTGAGTTCACATCCAGGCTTTTCCAGTTCCTACTATGTGCACTTGAGCAAATTACTTAACCACTCTGACCCTCTGTTTCCTCATCTGCAGATGGGTGCATTATTGTTGTGTATCTTGCAGGTCTGTTGCACGGGTTAAGAAAACTTGACAAATGTAAAGCACTCAGAACACTATCCCTTAGTATCATCTATGAATAAACATGAAACCCCTCTTTGGAGCTCTCCAAATGGGGGGAAAGCTTTGGAAACTGGTCAGAGCCAGGTAAGCCCCAGGCCACCCTGCCACGCAGCTGTGGGCCTTTACAACTGTCATGGTGACCTAAGCAGAGTGGAAGAGAAGACAGGGAGGGAGATGCTCAGAGCGCTCCTGGAAGAGACTGAGGAAGAGTAACGATTGGTCACTAGCCTGTTGTGTCACAAACAGCAGGAGCGAGCAGGAAGCAGGAAGTGTTGAGGTCTGGATGTTGGGATGCCAAGGCACCTAGGAGCTCAGAAAGGAGAAGGACTCACTGACCCATCCCACCAGAATTTATGGAGCCCCTTCTCTGAGTCATGCTCAATCGAAGTGCTGGGGGTAGCACAATGAACTACACAGAAGGGGTCCCTGCTCTCATGCAGACTGTGTTGTAACAGAGGGGAGAGAACACACATGAAGAAACTGGATTGTTTCCAACTGTAATAAGTGCTGCAGTGAAAACAATCAGGGTGATGTGAGTGGGTGGGGACGACCCAGCAGGGTAGGTGGGGAAGAATTCTCTAAGGAGGAGACAGAAAGAGACCTGAATCATCAGAAGCAGAGATGCATGGAGGAGTGGGAATGATGCATCAGGAAGAGCAAACAGCAGGTGCAAAGGCCCTGAGGTCAGAGGAGGAGCAGACAGGAAGCCATTGGGAGAGGAGAAGAGAAAGGGAAACTGGAATAATCTCAGGGGCCGGGTTATGGGATAGAGGATTTCAGAGGGATAGAGGATTTCAGGAATTGAGATGTTAATTTCTGGGAAGCCATCAAGGGAGCCAGTGGGAGGAGTGTCAAGATCTCACTTAATACTTAAAATCACCCCTCTGGCTGCTGTGCAAGGAATGGGTTGGAGGGGGCAGGAGTTGGGAGCCCAGGATGGAGGTCCTGTGAGAGGCTGCCTGGACTGAGGTAGGAGGCCTGGAGATAGAGAGAAGTGGGTAGGATTGAGATGTCACTGGTCCCCATGCCACCACGTGACTGATCAAAGATCACATGTGACCAGGCAGAGCTCGACTTTTCAGACAGGTGGGGTGCAGGGGGAGGGGGAGGAGAGCAGGGGGTGAGCAATAATAGGTTTTGGGTGCTGCTGTAGGTCTCTGAGAAGCGGCTCTGCCCACCTTCCTCCCAAGGGAGAAACCTGATGGGAAGGGAGGGAAACAGTGGATTCTCCACCCCCTCGCATGGGTTTAGGAATCCCAGAGTGATAGGAACCTATACCATGTCTCCCGTTGGGATCCAGAGGCAAGACCTCTCCTACAGAATTCCACACACTGGGCATGGAGCAGAACCAGCTGCAGGAGGCCCCCAGGCTGGAGGTCCCCAGTCTCCCACATGCTCCAGGGAGCAGCAGAACATCGTCCTGTGTGGCCAAGATTAGTTCCCACAGCATAGGCGGAAGCTGCTGGTTCCTTACCCAAGGTCCACTCAACACCTTCCCTGACTTTCTCCAGGGCACAGTGAAAAATATTCACTTAACCAGACTCCCCTGCAGCTGGGGAGCCCGTGTGAGTTCTGAGCAATGAGCTAAAAATGGAAACTCATGATGGGCCTTCTGGAGAAACATATTCCCTGATAAAAAGGAACAGATACAATTGATACATTCACCCTTTACCTTACCCTCACTTTCCTGCCGCTAATGAGAACATCAAAATGCTCCTTGCACTCAGGAGCTTGCAATATGAAGTA